GCCATTCACTTTCTCTATCTTAAATGATGTGTGTGAGCCGTTTGCTTTTCTATAGTAGGATCAGAATAGGATTCCTATCTTTGAGTACAATCTTTCAAAGAACTGGAGATGTTTATTAGTCGTTAAGATATTGTTTCATTGTTAAATCATGTCCGACTGTCTGGGACCCTAGGACTGTAGCCCACCAGGCTGTTCTGTCCATGGGATTTCCCAAGCAAGAATATTGGAGTGAGTTGCCATTTCCTCCTCCAGGGGATCTTCCCAGACCAGAGATTGAACCCATGTTTCCTGTATTGGCAGGTGGAGTCTTTCCCACTGCACCACCAGTGCAGTCATTGTTCCTACCTTTTATCCCATTTGCCTTTTTTTCAATTTTCCTTCTTACTCAATAATTTCTCACAGACCTGCCTCAAATGACAAGTATGACGATGAATTCATTATTTTTATGGCTGTCCAGCAGGTCAGGGTGTGCCTGAACTACTGACACTTTAATGGTCTTTTCATATCCTTTGAGCTTCCCTGGTAGCTCGGCTGGTGAAGAATCTACCTGCAACGTAGGAGACCCGGGTTCAATTCCTGGGTTGGGAAGATCCCCTGGAGATGGGATAGGGTACTCACTCCAGTATTCTGGCCTGGAGAATTCCTCGGACAGTATAGTCCATGGGGTTGCAAAGAGTCAGACACGACTGAGCGACTTTCACTTTCACTTTCATATCCTTTATCACTAAGTTGCTATTATACCAAAGCTACACAATACATTGAGATAGTGAAGTTCAAACTCTGATTCTAACCATGGGTGGTTTCATCCCCCAGGGATTCTTGTCTGTCACACATGGAAGGCTCTGTAGGTCAGGGATGCTGTAAATATCCTTCAATGCACAGGGCAGATGTCACCACAAACAGTGATCTGGCTCAGAATGTCAATGGTGCCAACACTGGAGAACCCTGAGTTAAAGTATATCTGTATTTTGAAGGTTTATAGCTGTCTTCAGATTGTTCCCTAAAATACTGTAACACTTCACATTTCTTCCAGAAAAATCAGTGTCTCCTTTGCTACTAGTCCAGAAGTTCTCAGCTCAGATTTGACCAGTCTTCAAGATTTTTCCCAGGACCATGGTGGGAAAGAGATTTCTTGTTGCTTTCTTAAACTACATACTGAGCTAGAGCAAAGATTTATATATTTGGCCACCTTTTTGATTTGCTTATTATTATTATGTGTGGGCTTCTGTGGTGCCTCAGTGGTAAGTTCGAATTCACCTGCCAGTGCAGGAGACGTGGGTCCATCCCTGGGTCGGGAAGATAAATTCCATGGAGAAGGAAATGGCAACCCACTCCAGTAGTCTTGCCTGAAAAATCCCAAGGACAGAGGAGCTTGGCGGGCTACAGTCCATGGGGTCACAAAAGAATCAGACACGACTTTACTAAACAACAAAAACAATAATTATTATTATTATGTACACATATTAGCAACTGAACAACAACACATATTATATGCCCATTTTTCCACAGATACAGCCTTCCAAATAATTCTTTAAAATGGTTGTTTTTCAGTTGATTTATGAGGCATATATTTGGCCTTAATTTTTTTTTAATTTTATTTAGTTATATAGGTCTATTGTCTTGTTTCTGAGTCTTTTGCATTATTTAAGGTGATTTCCGGCCCCCATTGATATTATATATTTACATGTCAAAGTGTTCATCTAAAATGTGCTGGCTATTCTTACACTGAGGATGTAATCTCCCTAATATTTGTAAGATGTTTGAAGTAGGCAAGAAACCAATTTTTACAAGATAGGTATTTATGCCAGCTTTAGGAACATTTCAGTCTTTCCAAGTAAATTGAAGTGCAACCTTGACATATATTAAATGTCCATATATAAGGAGACCTAAGTTCTGATTTATTCAACAAATAGTAACTGAGCATATGCTACATGCCAGATTACTCTAGGAACATTATATATCATATTATTTTATATTTTGAGCATTGCCAATTTAATTAATTCATATTGATAACATAAATTTTTGCTATTACATTTCTTCTTCAATTAGTTTTCAGTGCTCCATTCAATTCTGTTTACCACAGTTTTGAAACCATGCTATTTAACTTGGTTGCATTCTCTATGTTATTCTTTTTATCTCCTAACTTTTCATTTATCGAAGTTCATTTTTATACAAATGCACATATATTTACATACTCAGTTTAAATGCAAAGATGAATAAAACAGCAGAAGTCCCTACATGTATGGATCAAGCATTATAATTGGGAAGACAGAGTGCAATGAAGGAAATAAGTGTATAATACAATGTCCCCAGATGACTAATATGAAGAGTGTTAGTGAAAAGGTTGAAACTCATGGTGTATCCAGGTTTTATGTGGATGGACCTTTGATCCTTTGGGCAAAGATCAGAACTAGGGCTAGAGTGCACTTTTAGGACTCATCAAAAAAAAAAGATTAAAATCCAAGAATAGCAACAACAGAAAAAAAGATGTCCCATATTGAAAGGGAGAAAGAGGCTTGCTTCTCTGCTTTCATATAAAAACATTTAGTCAAATGAAAATGAAATAAGAACAGGAAAAACAAGCTTTGCTACCTGATATTAAAAATGGCCAATGTTCAATTCCTATCCATTGTGCTTTGTAAGTATCCTTTTGTGAAGTGCTATTTTGTTCCCTTTGCTCATTTTCTCTTGGGTCATGCAATCCATAAGTAATAACCATAAGTTATTGCTACTCTGGATAAATTTATTTTTTCTTTTTAATAATTTCTGCTGGGCATCAAGGGAATATAATAGCATGTGAAATGTTATAAGAACCAAGGAAATTTTCTTAGCACAGTCTCTCAAGGACCATTTGAGTTTATTAGATCTGTATTCTTTCATTTCCATTCTCTATTTCTCTCTCTTTTTCTCTCACATGTAGAATTATATATTGTTGTTGCTATTGTTCAGTCTCTAAGTTGTGTCTGAATCCTTGTGACCCCATGGACTGCAGCACACCAGGCTGCCCTGTCCTTCACTATCTCTCGGAGTTTGCTCAAATCCATGTCCATTGAATCGGTGATGCCGTCTAACCATCTTATTCTTTGCTACCCCCATCTCCTTTTCTTTCAGTCTTTCCCAGCATCAGGGTCTTTTCCAATGAGTCAACTCTTCACATCAGGTGGCCAAATTGTTGGAGCATCAGCTTCAGGATCAGTCCTTCCAATGAATATTCAGGGTTGATTTCCTTTAGGATTGACTGGTTTGATCTCCTTGCAGGCATATATGTATGCTCAGTCATGTCCAACTCTATACAGTCCATGGGATTCTCCAGGCCAGAATAGTGGGTAGCCTTTCCCTTCTCCAGGAGATTCTCCCAAACCAGGGATCAAACCCAGGTCTCCTGCATTGTGAGCAGATTCTTTACCAACTGAGCTATCAGGGAAGCCCCCTATATGTATATATCCAGATTTAAAGATACAATACAGATATATAATATAGTTGTACACTGGAAAAAAACTATATGCCTTTAATACATGACATAAAATGGTCATACCAAAATTAAATGCCAAGTTTCATTGATACCTGGGAAAATTACAAAGTGGAATTTCTGAATGTCATTTGTACATAATCTGATCTGATCAACTTGAGTTGTGTCTAACTCTAAATCATTTGTGATTGTTAAGGGTGAAAAATTCTTGGAAATAACACAGCCTAGGAAGCCAGGGTCTTACTGTGTGTCTTTTGCTTTCTTGCCTTGTGAAGGGTGAGAATTCTTTAGGGCAGGGGTACTGAGCTCACATATTCCAAAGTGATTCTCACACATAGAGGCCAGAACTCAACCAGCGAAAGGTACTAAAGAAGAGATTCATTTAAACATATAGGCTAGGACTTCCCTGGCGATTCAGGGATTAAGAATCCACTTCCCAATGCAGGGGATGCAGGTTCAATCTCTGGTCTGAGAACTAAGATCCCACAAGCCACAGGGCAAATAAACCCATTCGCCACAACTAGAGAACCCATGCACTGCAACTAGAGAAGACTACACACTACAATGGAGACCCAACAGAGCCCCCTCCCAAAAAAAATACAGGCCACCTTTGCAACAATTTCATAAAGTGCTAGAGAAATGTAATAGGGAGGAGGGACTCCTTTTAACTTGCAGTCTCACCAGCAGCAAGGAGACCCCCTTGCTCCTCAACATCCTCTGACACCTTCTCTCCTCACTTTCCCTCCTTCTCACTTCCCTCACCACACTGGTTTCCTTTTTTCAACTAGAACATCTTAAACAAGCACCTTCCCCAGGGACTTTGCACTGGCTGCTCTGCCTGCCAGGCACACATTTCTCTTGATAAGTTCATGGCTCCTGCTCTCTCTTCCATGAGGTCTCTGTTCAAATGTCACCTTATTTGCGGTCTTACCTGAAGACCCATAAAAATAGCATCCTTTCTTTACTCTCTCCTTTACTCTTACTCTCATTTTATTCATAGTATATGTCACCATATGACATGCTACATATATTTTTATTTGCTATATTGATTCTCCATGACTGGATTTCAGGAGCTTTTGATTACCAAAACACTGTACTCATTGCATGAACAGAATATTGACATTAACTTCCTAATTGCAAAATATATAAGGTAGCATTTCAACAATGTGAGTAATGTTCACTTGCACGAAAATTAGTCACCTTTTTTCCCTTTACTTGTAGTCACTTCCACTACATGGCACCAACGAACATCACAAGAGTTTCAGAATTTCTTCTTCTGGGATTCTCAGAGGAACCAGAACTGCAGCCCTTCATATCTGGGCTTTTCCTCTGCATGTACCTGATCAATGTGTTTGGAAACCTCCTCATCATCCTGGCTATCTCAGACCCCCACCTCCATACCCCCATGTACTTCTTCCTCTCCAACCTGTCCTTTGTAGACATCTGCCTCACCTCCACCACCATCCCAAAAATGCTGTGGAACATCCAGACACAGAGCAAAGTTATCACCTACAAAGGCTGCATCACCCAGATGTTTTTTTTTATACTGTTCGCAGGGTTAGATGACTTCCTCCTGACTGTGATGGCCTATGATCGGTATGTGGCCATCTGCTACCCCCTGCACTACACGGTCATCATGAACCCCCAAATCTGTGGAATTCTGCTTCTGGTTAGCTGGGCCATCAGTGTCCTTCATTCCTTGTTACAGACCTTAATGGTGTTGAGACTGTCCTTCTGTGGAGAGCTGAAAATCCCTCACTATTTCTGTGAACTCAATCAAATGGTCCAACTTGCCTGTTCTGACAACTTTCTTAATGACATGGTGATATATTTTGCAGCTGGGTTGCTGGCTGGTGCTCCCCTGTCTGGGATATGTTACTCTTACTCTAAGATAGTTTCCTCCATATGTGGAATCTCATCAGCTCAGGGAAAGCTTAAAGCCTTTTCCACCTGTATGTCTCACCTCTCTGTGGTCTCCTTATTTTATTGTACGAGCCTAGGGGTGTACCTTAGCTCTGCTGCTACCCAGAGCTCACACTCAAGTGAAATTGCCTCGGTGATGTACACTGTGGTCACACCCATGCTGAACCCCTTCATCTATAGTCTGAGGAACAAAGACATAAAAAATGTTCTGCAAGCATTCTTCAGAAAAGCAGCTATAAAAAGGCCATTTGTCTTCAGCTGAAGAAGCCTACCTGATTGAAGGGTTCAAAACCAGAGCCAGAAATTGCAGATCTTTTTTCAGATTCTTTCATTAGATTGAAGAAGTAGGACATGCTCCTTTTATTTATTTCCTAGAAGTTAAATTTCTTTGAACTCCTCCGTATAACTTAATTTCACTCACTTGAATAAGATTTGTGATCTTTCTCATTTTCAAGAGTCTTTCTGTGTTATGGTTTTCCCACTCTCTCAAATTTATTCTCAACATTGGATCTAAACAATTTGGGGAATTTCCATTATCATGTGATTAGCTATATTCCTTGATACAAATATATTATGTCATGCGTGCAGGCATACTCAGTCTCTCAGCTGTGTCTGAGACTTTGCTGTCCCACAGACTGTAGCCCACCAGGCTTCTCTGTACTGGAGTGGGTTGCCATTTCTTACTGCATAGGTCATGTATATGTGGAATCTTTTTGAAAAGCAAAAATTATGCAAATAGAGAGTAGAATAGTGGTTGCCAGGAACTGAGGCTTTTGGAGAGATGCTAATCAAAAGGTACAAGCTTCCAGTTAAAAATGAAGATGTCTTGAGGAGCTAAGAGAGCATGGTGACAACAGCTAATGATTCTCTATTATATATTTGAAAGTTGCTAAGAGAGTAATTCTTCAATGTTCCACCATAAGAAAAAAAAATGATAATTTTTTTCAGGTAATATTAGCTAAATTTGTCATGGTAACAATTTTAGAATACATAAGTATATCAGATCATTACATTGTTGACTGAAAACAGCATCCCAAGTACCCTGAGCAGAGAGCTCCCAGGAGACGGGGGTAGGAACCAGACCACGCAGAAGTTTTGCAACAAGGGGCAGATAGTCTGAACGTCAAAAGATTTTTTGTAAATTAAAGAAAACTAGAAATCCCAAGTTAAGGACAAAAATTAGTGATGAAATATCTTCCAAAAATTAGTCAAATTCCAGACCAAGAGGAGGAACTGAGGAATGGAATATTTCCTGCCATATCAGTAAACAACAGATGTCAACAATCAGCAATTTCAGCCACCACAGAAGGTGAGCTGGTGAACCGGTGAGCCCTGAGGGAACTCAGGAAGGAAAGATTATCTGCCATCTCAGTTCAGTTCAGTTCAGTCACTCAGTTGTGTCTGACTCTTTGCAACCCCATGAACCGCAGCACACCAGGCCTCCCTGTCCATCACCAACTCCCGGAGTCCACCCAAACCCATGTCCATTGAGTCAGTGATGCCATCCAACCATCTTATCCTCTGTCGTCCCCTTCTCCTTCTACCCTCTAGCAGCCAGCAAACTGCTGCCATTCCCTATGGTGAGTCCCAAGGAAGCTCAGGATGTGAAAAACACAGAATGAAAGTGAAACTGTCAGTCACTCAGTTGTGTCTCTTTGAGACCCCATGCACTGTAGCCCTCCAGACTCCTCTGTCCATGAATTGTCCAGGCAAGAATACTGGAGTGGGTAGCCAGTCCCTTCTCCAGGGGATCATCCCAACCCAGGGATCAAACTCAGGTATCCCTCATTGCAGCTAGATTCTTTACCATCTGAGCCACCAGGGAACCCCAGATAGCTGAGGTGCATATCAAAGGAATAAAGTCTCATGCTTTGTCAGAATTCATGTCTCCTCAGACAATTCACTTCTGAGTGTTAGACAAGAGCCCAGTCTCAGGCCCTGGAGTGGTCCCCTTCCTGCAACAGATTACTCCTGGAGGCTCCAGGGAAAAATATGTTTCTTGTCCTATTCCAATTCCTAGAGAATACTTGCATTCCTTGACTATTGCCACATCACCAAAGTTAACAGCTTAAGATTTTCAATTATCTCTATGAGTTCAATTCTTCTACCTCTCTCATCCATGTTTAGAGGATCATTGATTAATAATCATGGCTAATTGTCTTAAAGTGACTTATTAGGAACTTTATTCAACTAACCACCTTAATTTAAACATCCCTGCTATGTAAAATAACATATTCAAAGATTATAAGGATATGAACATGGACATCTTTTGGAAGCCCTTATTCTGCCTACTACACCAACTTTCCCAGAAGTGCATTATTTGGGGTGATTCAAGGGCCCTTTTTGCCTTTTCATACTGTTCATGAGGTTCTTGTGGCAAGAATACTGAAGTGGGTTGCCATTCCCTCCTCCAGTGGACCATGTTTTGTCAGAACTCTCTACTATGACCTGCCTGTCTTGGGTGGCCCTGCATGGCATGGCTCATAGCTTCATTGAGTTACACAAGCCTCCTTGCCAGGATGAGGCTGTGATCCATGAATGGGACACAAATTGGACACAGTTTTTCACAGCCTCTGGAATGAATGTGCATGCGTTTCTTCAAAATTTCATACAAAGATGATTTGCGATAGAGAACATGTGAAACTCTGTAGAAGACTCTAAAACATAACCACAGCCTTGTTTACTCAACAATGGTCAAAATCCAGTACCTGTATCATCAACACCACCAGGCAAGATCTGCTGATCAGAAGCTGCTTTTGAACCTGCATCTGGGTGGCTGGTATGAACAGTAATGTGGGAAAGTGCTGGTCTAGGTTAGGTTTAATCATTTTCTCACTGTTTTCCTTTTGGGCAGGATCATTATTTGGGTTGGGTGCTGATTGGGCATTATTGTATGGCTGTTTAGCAGCACCTCTTCAGACATGACCAAATATCACCCAGGGTAAAAGTATCTCTGACTGAGAACCACTGTCCCAGCGTTTGAAAGCTGGAAACAACTGGAGAATTCCAGAAAAGGTCTCGTACCTTACTCAGAGTATAACTGGCAGATCACTAATCCCTAAGAAGCCCATTTCTGCAATGGAAAATGGAGTTCATAGAAGTACTATCCTTCCCTGGAGGCTCAGATGGTAAAGAATCCACCTGCCGATGCAGGAGACACAGGTTCAATCCCTGGGTTGGGAAGATCCCCTAAAGGAGGAAATGGCAGCCCACTCCAGTATTCTTGCCTGGAGAATTCCATGGACAGAGGAGCCTGGCAGGCTACAGTCCATGGGGTCACAAGAGTCAGACACAACTGAGTGGCTAGCACTTTACACTTACCACATAGAATGGATTTTTCTAAAAATTAAGCTGTAGAAACCCCAAAAGAAGCTAAGACCTATGTGTTTCTTATAATTAAAAACATTTTCTAATGAAGAACTAACTGACAGGTCTTAACTCTTGCTTTAAGTGCAAGATTCCTAACATTTTTGACAAAACTGTAATGAATTCAAGCAGTATACTGCCCAAGGTTTTACATTAAAAGAACAAATTTATCCCACTGCTTGAAGGTGAGAATAGTAATTTTCTAGAGATATTAGGGGCTGGGACCCACCAGGAGTAAATGCTTTGATCACAGATCTAGTCAGGACAGAAACCTCAATCTTAGACCCTGGAGAAAATGTGGACTCAGGATTGGGATAGGACCTTAAGTTTTACTCCCCCAGGACAGGAAAGATCATGGAGAGAAGTAATAAATACTATATCCATCTGACATTGTCACCTAGAAACAGAAAACAAAAAGAAAGTTTTCCTATCTGTCCAGAACAGTGTCCCACAGGGATATCAATTATTAGAGATGGTACTAACAGGAGGGAATTGTACCTAATGAGCAGACATGGGGAGCTATAAATATCTCCTCTGCTGCATCCCTCAGCCTGAGCAACCTTGGGATAGACAGGACATAGCTGTTGCTTGCAGACTCATAATTCGACTAGAAGACCAATGCTTGACTCCATCCCATTGTCTTGTCTGGAAACAGAGCTTCTGTCTCCATCGTCAGTCATCCAAGAGCACCTGGGACATCTATGTTGCAAACTTCCTCTCAGAGACTCCACCCAGGTGAGTCCAAGAGTCCAGGAAATACTGCAGGAGAAGGTCAAATGGAATGGAGGCAAGAACATTTACCTGAGTTCACCTGAGCCAGTCTGGACTAACTCATAACCAAGATCACTGGGGTTGTTTCTTTACTTGATTAATTGATGTTTTAATTTTTAATGCAAAAAGAAATGCAAATATTGAATTCCTGGTGGCACAGTGATAAAGAACCCGCCTTCAATGAGGAGATACGGGTTGGATCCCTGAGTCAGGAGGATTCCCTGGAGAAGGAAATGGCAACCCACTCCAGTATTCTTGCCTTGAGAATCCCATGGACAGAGGAGACTGGCGGGCTACAGTCCATGGGGTTGGAAAGAGTCAGACATGAATGAGCGATTGAGAAGTGCAAGGGTCAGTGCTGGCCATTAAACGATGAACATAAAGGCTCAATTAAAAGAGTGAGTTGGAGGTGTAAAGCTTCCAGTAAAAGTAGAAGCAAAGTCCAAGGATTTTTGCTATTAACTGAAGCAGAGATACTGAGCATTAGCTGTGGAGGGTTGTACAGACATGTAAGGACTTTTATTTTTTAAGATGGAGCCTATGTGACTACAATGAGAGGGATCCAGACAAAGGAATACTGGCAAACATTTCCCTACAAAAGTAGTTCATGAGACATACCTTTCACAGTATCTCCTCTCTCCTAATATTCAAATTAAAGAGCATTTATTATGTAAAAATGGATATGCTAATGAGCTTACTTTGCAATTATTTCATTACCAGTAAGGCTGAATATATTTATATATTAATAAGAAAGTTAGTTGAAAATTGTCTGTTCAATGCCTTTGCTTTTGCATCATGAATTTGGCAGGATTCTTGCTTTTGATTGTATTCTTTCAAAGACTAAAATTTTTTTCATCATGGTTGCTCTTTGCCACTTAGTTATTTTATGTATGTATACAAGTTTTGTGCAGAATGTCTGGGAGTTTTAAATTTTGTGTGGTAAAATCAACAAGTCAGTTATATTCTGTTCTTTTCATTGCTTTTTAATTTTTTTAACTGAAAGAATAGAGCAGTCACTTACACATTCTTCACTGCTTTCACCAAAAATGAAAATGAATGTTCTTCTGCATTGTCTTGTTGTGGTTGTGTTAGTTGCTCAGTTGGGTCCAACTTTTTGCAATCCCATGGACTGTAACCTGTCAGGTTCCTTTGTCCATGGAATTCTCCAGGCAAGAATACTGGAGTGGGTTGCCATTCTCTTCTCCAGAGGATCTTCCCAACCCAGAGATTGAACCCAGGTCACCTGTAATGCAGACAGATTCTTTACCATCTGAGTCACCACCAGGGAAGGCTTGATGCTAATAAATCATACTTTATACATATTTCCAACTACTTCTCACATCCCTTATTACTTGCTTTTGTTCTTTGTGGTTAAACATTGCATTTTTATTTCTTGAAGTTGCACCATATTTCTAAAACTTACATCATATTCAGCCACCATTTGGAAGGCATTTCTCTTTACACTTGACTAAAGATCACCTCTATCTTCCGTATGCATATTTGAAATCATATGTTTCTATGTAAGCAGAAATTGTAACTTAGATACTGCTTCCTCCCCACATTTTAAAAGACCTTCTGTCGTATTCTTTTATTTCCAAGTCTTTGATAATCTAAAATTGAGTCAGTGACCCAAGCTTATATAATTAAAGCATGTTGCTGTTCAGTGGCTAAGTCATGTCTGACTCTTTGTGACCCCATGGACTGCGGAATACCAGGCTTTACTATCACTGTCTCCCAGAATTTGCTCAATTTCAGGTCCATTGAGTTGGTGATGCTATCTAACCATCTCATCCTCTGCCATTCCCTTCTCTTTTTGTCTTCAGTGCTTCCCAGCTTCATGTCTTTTCCAGTGAGTCATCTCTTTGCATCAGGTGGCCAAGGTATTAGAGCTTAAGCTTCAGCATCAGTCCTTCCAATGAATATTCGTGGTTGATTTCCCTTAGGATTGATGATTTGATCTCCTTGCATTCCAAGGGACTCTCAAGAGTCCTCTCAAGCTATAATTTGAAAGCATCAATTTTCCAGCACTCAGCCTTCTTTATGGACCAAATCTCACATTCGTACATGACTACTAGAAAAACCATAGCTTTGACTGCTTTGTCACAAAATGATGTCTCTGCTTCTTAATATGCTGTCTAGGTTTGCATAGATTTCCTTCCAAGGAGAAGTGCCTTTTCATAAATTTAATTAAATAATTTTAATTAAAGTATAACTCTTGTATATTTTTGACAAAAATATAATGTCTATAGTTTTTCTTCTAGAAGTTGGTTTTGGATTTTCCTTCAATTTTGTTTCATATGGCTGTGGGGTTTTTTATATTGAATTTCATAAAGTGTTGGAGATACATATGTGGATGAGGGACTCCTTGTCACTTGAGGTTTCACCAGCTGCAGGGAAGCATCCTTGTTTCTTAGCATCCTGTGACACCACCTCTCCTTCTCCATCCTGCTGATCTCCCTCACCAGACCGGCTTCCTCTTTTTGAACTTGAACATCTTAAACAAACAGCTTTGTGCTGTGCCAACCTGTGAACTGGCTGTTCCCTTTCAGGCACACACTTCCCCACAAACGCTCAACTGCTGGCTCTCTATTCAAGAGTCACATTTTTGGCAGGTCTGGCCTGAACATGCATAAAAATTAGCACACACACACCTCCTTCTCTCTCTTCCTTCCACATACTTCCTTTTACTTTATAATACCTGCAGTCATCTAACATGCTTGTTATAATACCTGTAATCATCTAACATGTGTGTGTGTGTGTGTGTGTGTGTGTGTACACTTAGTTGCTCAGTTGTGTCTGACTCTTTGTGACCCCATGGACTATAGCCTACCAGGCTCCTCTGTCCATGGCATTTCCCAGGCAAGAATAATGGAGTGGGTTGCCATTCCCTTCTCCAGGATATCTTCCCAACCCAGGGAGTGAACACAGTTCTCCTCCATTGTAGGCAAATTGTCTACCATCTGAGCCACCAGGGAAGACCCCTAAACATGATATAAAAGTTTTTAATTTGCTTATGTTCTTTCTCCAATCTGGATTTTAGGAGCTTTTGTTTTTTCAGTTCAGTTCAGTTCAGTCCCTCAGTCGTTTGTTTTTTAGCATGTCACAATCCCTGCATAGACTATATGGGAAACATTGTTGCAATTCAATTTTCAAGTGCAAGAATTTCTCATTGAAACTGTGAATACATGACATAATGGGGGAAAAGTTAAAAATGGGGCAAGTTTGCTTACTGGAGAAGGCGTGGGGAATTCTCTGAAGGGGATAAGAACCATATGTAACATATTGATTTCTTGATGACCAAATATGAATTGTATTATTTAAACAATGTGAGTAATGCCTATCTGTGTGAAAATTAGTCATGTTATTTTACCCTTCCTTACAGTCACCTCTACCACATGAACCCACGAAATGATACAGAAATTTCAGAATTTCTTCTCCTGGGATTTTCAGAGGAACGAGCACTGCAGCCCCTCATATTTGGGCTTTTCCTCTCCATGTACCTGACCACTGTGCTTGGAAACCTGCTCATCATCCTGGCCGTGTGCTCAGACTCCCATCTCCACACCCCCATGTACTTCTTCCTCTCCAACCTGTCCTTTGTAGACATCTGCTTCACCTCCACCACCGTCCCAAAGATGCTGTGGAACATCCAGACACAGAGCAAAGTTATAACTTATGAAGTCTGCATCACACAGATGTATTTTTTTGTACTCTTTGCAGTATTAGACAAATTCCTCCTGACCGTGATGGCCTACGACCGCTTTGTGGCCATCTGTCACCCCCTGCACTACACGGTCATCATGAGCCCCCGGCTCTGTGCACTGCTGGTTCTGGTGTCCTGGATACTGAGTGCCCTGCATTCCTTGTTAGAAAGCTTAATGGTGTTGCGACTGTCCTTCTGTACAGACTTGCATATCCCTCACTTTTTCTGTGAACTCAACCAAATGGTACAACTTGCTTGTTCTGACACCTTTCCCAATAACATGATGATATGTTTTGCAGCTGTCCTGCTGGGTGTTGGTTCTCTTACTGGTATCCTTTACTCATATTCTAAGATAGTGTCCTCCATATATGGAATTTCATCATCTCAGGGGAAGTATAAGGCCCTTTCCACCTGTGCATCTCACCTCTCAGTAGTCTCCTTATTTTATTGTACGAGCTTAGGAGTGTATATGAGCTCTGCTGCTACCCACAGTTCCCATTCAAATGCAAAAGCCTCAGTGATGTACACTGTGGTCACACCCATGCTGAACCCCTTCATCTACAGTCTGAGGAACAAAGACATAAAGAGGGCTCTGAAAATGTTCTTGCGGAGGGCAACTCTAAAAGGACATGTGGTCCTAAGGCTTAAGAAGTGCCCGTGATGAAAGCCTCAGAGCCAGAAATTGCAGTTTATATCAGATATGGAAGGAAGTAAAACATGCCTCGTCAGTTCCTTATTGGAGTTTCCATTTCTTTTATCTCAACTTCTCTATACAATTTATGCAACTCATTTTATGAAGCTTTGTGCTCTCTCTTATATTCAAGAATTCTCTTGGAAGGTTGGGACTGACAATATACACTGTTGACACTATGTTTAAAATAGATAGCTAATGAGAACTACTGTGTAACACAGGGTGTTCTACCCAGTGCTCTGTGGTGACCTAATAGGAAGGAAATCCAAAACAAGGGGATATGGGTATACATACAGCTGATTCACTTTACAGTATAGCATAAGTTAATATTGTAAAGCAACTATATTCTAATAAAGTTTTTTTTTTAATTTTTCCCTTTGTCATTATCCTATTATTCCAAGGTTATCTTCAACCATGGATCTAAGATATTTGGATTTTCCCATTATCTCAAGGTTGTATGCATCCATGCTAAGTTGCTTCAGTCTTGTATGACTCTGTGGGACCCTATGGACTGTAGCCCACCAGGATCCTCTGTCCATGGGATTCTCCAAGCAAGAATACTGGGGTGGGTTGCCATGACCACCTCCAGGGGATCTTCCCAACCCAGGGCTTGAACCCATGTCTCCTGCATTGCAGGTGGATTCTTTTACTGCTAAGCCATGGGAGAAGGCCCCTATGGAAAAAAAAAAAATACTCTTGGCAATCACAGCTACTTACATAAGCTTGTAACAGAAAGAAAAAAAAATCTGAGACCACTGTTTTCTTTTTGTGAGTCTCATTCTCTTGGCAATCAAAGCTACTTACATAAGCTTGTAACAGAAAAAAAAAATCTGAGACCACTGTTTTCCTTTTGTGAGTCTCATTACTTTATATATCACTTCCTTAACTGCTCTTTCGAATACTCCATACCTTAGCATATGCCTTGTTATAGTTGTTCATGGGTATTTTTCTACTCTTTTGATTTCTGCTGTTATTCAGATTGATGTCCTCCATGTTTACAACTGACACTGGCAAAAACTGATAATAAAATAGATGTCTCCAAGTGGAAGCTACACAGAAAGACAAAAAATGAATAAACAGATTTACATAATATGGCCTTAGAGTTGAACTTGACTTTAAATATGATAAGGAAAATATTAATCAAACATTTATTACTACACAAAAGATAGTTGTGTATATGTGTAAGTGTTTGTCGCTCATTGGTGTCCAACTCTCTGCAACCTCCTAGACTGTAGCCCACCAGGCTCCTCTGTCCATGGGATTCTCCAGGCAAGAATCCTGGAGTGGGTTGCCATGCCCCCCTCCAGGGGATCTTCCCAACCCAGGATAGAACCCAAGTCTCCTGCATTGGCAGGCAGAATCTTTATTGCTGGTGCCACCTGAGAAGCCCAATACATGTGTCTCTATTTGTATACATCTTTCTTTCAAATAACCATATTCACACACACACATATGTACATGCACACAGAATCATTTATAATCCAATTTATTCTATTAAAAGAAACCTTACAAGACTGTTGGAAGGTAAAGAAATTTTAAAAACGAACATTGCTTAGTTAACATGAAGTCCAAGGAAAGTAGAAGTTTAAACACAAAGATTTAAGGTAAAATGAGTGATCTAATTTAATAATTTTAATTACTTTTTCCATCTTAACACCTCAAAAGTCTCAAAATCAAAACCATATTTACACTCATGCAGTGTGGGATTCACTGTATCAGTTAAGGGAAACAACTATCTCCAAATTGACTCTAATTTTCTTCTATTAAGGTGGGATTTCAATGGAAAATACTACCTGGAGGAACCTAAGTGAATAAATTGAGAGGCTTAACCTCAGTTTTTTGAATGAAATCTTATTGGATAAAAATAAATGATTTATATTTTACTGGGGTTTCCCAGGTGTCAGAGTGGTATCCATCTGACTGTGCAAGAGATGCAAGAGAAGTGAGTTCAATCGCTGGGTCAGGAAGATCCCCTGGAGTAGGAAATGGAAATGTACTCCAGTATTCTTGACTGGAAAATCCTGTGTACGCTGAAGTGTGGCAGGCTACAGTCCATGAAGTCCCAAAGAATGGGACACAACTGAACAACTAAGCATTCACGCATGCTGCTGTAACAAATATCCCATTATAGCTATGTATATACATTATACATGTGTGTGTATATACAAAGATATATAGATAGATAGATGGATGGATAGGTCAGTTCAGTTCAGTTGCTCAGTCCTGTCTGATTCTTTGCAATCCCATGGACTGCAGCATGCCAGGCTTCCCTGTCCATCTCCAACTCCCGGAGCTTGCTCAAGCTCATGTTCATTGAGTTGGTGATGCCATCCAACCATCTCATCCTCTGTTGTCCCCTTCTCCTCTTGCTTTCAATCTTTTCCAACAGCAGGGGCTTTTCTCATGAGTCGGCTCTTCACACCAGGTGGCCAAAATATAGGAGCTTCAGCTTCAGCATCAGTCCTTCCAATGAGTATTCAGGATTGATTTCTCTCAGGATTGACTGGTTGGATCTCCTTACAGTCCAAAGGACTCTCAAGAGTCTTTTCCAACACTATAATTCAAAAGCATCAATTCTTCAGTGCTCAGCTTTTTTTATAGTCCAACTCACACATCCCTACATGACTCCTGGAAAAACCATAGCTTTGACTAGACAGACCTTCATCAGCAAAGTAATGTCTTTGCTTTTTAATATGCTGTCTAGATTAGTCATAACTTTTCTTCCAGTGAGCAAGCATCTTTTAACTTCATGGCTACAGTCATCATCCCCAGTATTTTGGAGCCCAAGAAAATAGTCTCTCACTGTTTCCATTGTTTCCCCATCTATTTGCCCTGAAGTGATGGGATTGGATGCCATGATCTTTGTTTTTTCAATGTTGAGTTTTAAGTCAGCTTTTTCACTCTCCTTTTTCACTTTCATCAAGAAGCTCTTTAGTTCCTCCTTGCTTTCTGCCTTAAGGGTGGTAACACCTGCATATCTGAGGTTATTGATGGGTCTCCCAGCAATCTTGATTCCAGTTTGTGCTGCATCCAGCCCAGCATTTTGCATGATGTACTCTGCATATAAGTTAAATAAGCAGGATGACAGTGTACAGCCTTGATGTACTCCTTTCCCAATCTGGAACCAGTCCATTGTTCCATGTCCGGTTCTAACTGTCACTTCCTGACCTGAATACAGATTTCTCAGGAGGCAGGTAAGATGTCTGGTATTCCCATCTCTTTAAGAAACACAGTTCATTGTGATCCACACAATCAAAGGCTTTAGTGTAGCCAATGAAGCAGAAGTGGATGTTTTTCTGGAACTCTCTTGCTGTTTTGATGATCCAACAGATGTTGGCAATTTGATCTCTGGTTCTTCCTCTGCCTTTTTTGAATCCAGTTTGAACATCAGGAAGTTCTCAGTTCACATACAGTTGAAGCATAGCTTAGAGAACTTTGAGCATTACTTTGCTAGCATGTGAGATGAGTGCAATTGTGCAGTAGTTTGAAAATTCTTTGGGATTGGAATGAAAACTGAATTTTTCCAGTCCTGTGGCTGTTGCTGAGTTTTCCAAATTTGCTGGCATACTGAGTGCAACACTTTCTCAGCATCATCTTTTAGGATTTGAACTAACTCAGCTGGAATTCCATCACCTCCACTAGCTTTGTTCGTAGTGATGCCTCCTAAGGCCCACTTGACTTCACACTCCAGGATGTCTGGCTCTAGGTGAGTGATCACACCAATGTGGTTATCTGGGTCATTTAAGACTCTTTGTATAGTTCTACTGTGTATTCTTGCCATCTCTTCTTAACATCTGCTGCTTCTGTTAGGTCCATACCGTTTCTTTTATTGTGATCATCTTTGCATGAAATGTTCCCTTGGTATCTCTAATTTTCTTGAAGAGACCCCTAGTCTTTCCCATTCTATTGTTTTCCTCTATTTCTTTTCACTGATGTCTTAGGAAGGCTTTCTTATCTCTCCTTGCTATTCTTTGAAACTCTACATTCAGATAGTTATGTCTCTCCTTTCCTCCTTTGCTTTAGCTTCTCTTCTTTTCTCAGCTATTTCTAAGCCCTCCTCAGACATCCATTTTGTCTTTTTACATTTCTTTTTCTTGGGGATGGTTTTGGTCACCACTTCCAGTACAATGTTATGAACCTCTGTCCATAGATAGATATAAATAGATATATAATAACTTGAAGTTCTACAGATCCAAAGCTCAAACTGGAATGGGTCTCAATGGACTAAAGTCCACATGTTTCAGTGCTGGGATCCATCTAGATGCTCCAGAAGAGAATGCATTTCCCTCATAAATGACTTTCTGGTAGCCACCTACATTCCTTGGTTCATGGTCCTTTCTCAATCTTCAAAACCAGCAGCATAGCATATTAAATGTTCTTTGGCCTCAATTTTCTTATTCTCATTCAGTATTTAGAGGATCTCGTTATTACATTTCACTAACCTGGATAACCCAGGCTAAACTTTTTATCTTACTATGAAACAAAGTCTTTTTCAGGTGTATGTTATTTGATGGCACTGAAGAAACTTCAGGTAGAAGGATCAACTACTGAATGTATCACAGCCGTCAAAATAAGTGAAATGCTTTTCTTTCAAAATTACATACAAATAGCAGAAGAGGGGATAAATAAAATGTGGTGTATACACACACACACACACACACACACAGTGGAATACTACTCAGCCATAAAAAGGAATGAAATAGTGCCATTTGCAGAGGCGTGGATGGACCTGGAGACTGTCATATGGAAAGATATAAGTCAGAAAGATAAAAACAAATAGCATATAATATTGCTGTTATGTGGAATCTAGAAAAATGATATAGATGAATTTATTTGCAAAACAGAAACAGACACACAACCGACATATAGAAAAACTGGGGAGAGAGAGGGGAGGAAGGAGGATAAATTGGGAGATTGAGACAGATATATATACACTACTATGTATAAAATACATAACAAATGAGAACCCTACTGTATAGCATGGGGAACTCTACTCGATGCTCTGTGGGACCTAAATGAGACGGAAATCTAAAAAATAGGGGATATATGTATACACATAGCTGATTCATTTTGTTGTATAGTAGTACTTAACACCACATTGTAAAGTGACTCCAATAAAAATTAATTTTAAAAAATAATAATAATCAAAATATTTACATATACATCTTACGATCTGGGGTCAATTTGTTCTTGCTGGTCATAATTCAAGAACTAACTAGATTTCAATAGTGATGGGGCTATCTGGTTTTTTAAATTATCCTTTTCTTTTAGAGACACATGCTGAAGTTGCTTAAATATTAATAGGTAAAATGATATTATATGTGGGAATTGCTTAAAAATAATCATCTCGTGTGAACAGGAGTCATGTGGCCAGGTTACAGGTCAGGAATTTGTAAAACCCATTGATGAATTGATGAGTGTTCATTACACTCTTCACTACTCTTCACTTCTGTGTGTGTTTGAATTTTCCATAATAAAAAAGGTTTTAATGGTCCCAGTGGGAGAAGACACATTCTTCCAACATCTACCCCTGAGGACATAACTGAAATTTTTTTCCATTTTTATTATAGTCCCCATATTCCTGCAGTTATATTGCCCCAAGCTTACAAAATAAGAAAATTTAATGAGAAGCTTTGAGAATTCAGCTTCTGGAGCACAATACACTTTGCCCCTCACCTTCAGTTCACAAATATGAGGGGAAAAAGACATTCTGTCTTGCTTCCTAGAAACATCACCCTGGTCTAGAGATCCATGTGTTGTTAGTTGTTCAGTCATGTGCAACTCTTTGTGACCCCATGAACTGTAGCCCATCAGGCTCCTCTGTCCATGGGATTCTCCAGGCAAGAATACTGGAGTGGGTTGCCATTCCCTTCTCCAGGTGCCTGGAGCCAGCTCCCTGATGTTGGAGACACAGCTGCTGGCTACACGATTCACCTTCCTGGGATGAGTCCATCAGATTGGAAATAACAGCACAGAGCATCTTTGGGAAATAGAAGAGAGAAATTTCCCCAGGAGCACTGTCAGGAGTAAGAAAATTGGACAAATCTATATATTAAAAATGATTCTGAAATGTTCAAGTGCTAACCAAGAAGGAATCCTCAAGTTTAATTACAGCCTCTTCTCTCTCCTCATCTCCCTTGCCTTCTGCTCATTCCCACATTATTTCTACAACCCTCTCCTGACTCATCAGGAACCATCTCTCTCCTAGTTTTCTCCTGGGCTACACTGGTCTTCCCCTAACATTTTACCCAGTGCCCAGTCTCCCCCTGCTCAGCTTACTGTAACTTGCACATCAGAGGGGCCACACGCCTCATTAACTCGTACATTTCAGCGAGCATACACAGCCACTTTCAGCTGTCTCTGTGATGTACATGAAAGACAACACTCTCGTCCCATTTGTTTCCAGGGAGATGAGATGAGACCATTCAGGGGAAGAGATTAGCATGATTCCTGTACCTGGTAAGTTTAATAAATATTAATTGCTATTTATATCATTTCTTAAGGGTCTTCAATGAGCCAGACGTTAGTCTGTGTATGTCATATGTGTCAGTCACTCAGTCGTGTCTGGCCCTTTGCAACCCCATGGACTGTAGCCCACCTGTTTCCTCTGTCTATGGAACTCTCCAGGCAAAAATACTAGAATAAGTAGCCATTCCCTTTTCCAGGGGATCTTCCCAACCCAGGGGTCAAACCTGGGTCTCCCCTGTTGCAGGCAGGCTCTTTACAACCTGAGCCACCAGGGAAGCCTTATTTTTGTACAATTTCAAATAGAATGTTTTTTTTTTCTATTATGCATCTGTTTATTGCTGGAAATGGGAAAGAAAATGATGAATGTTTGTATTTCAATCTAGTTTCACCAGAATGACTTCTTAGTTTTAATAGCTTTCTGATTGATTTTAGGTAGCCAGTTTATCATCTGAAAATGTGATCACTTTACTTTTACCCAAGATGTGACCATATGGTTGCTATTTTATTCTTTGGTCATATTGGTTTGAAATTTCAGAACAGCACTGGGTAGTGGTAGTGACACACATATTTGTCTTCTGTATGATCTTCATGTAGATTTCTCAAATATTTTCATGTGTGGGTTGATATAAGCTGATGATCAAGGAAACTATTTTCATAGTAATGAAACCTGTTTAGTTTCCTCAGAACTCCTTTCAAGCAGTATCTTTAGCATTCAATTAGACTATCCAATTTTTTGGATGATTTTTTTCTACTTATTTGCTATACTGCAATAAATACATTACCAATATGAAATACTGGTTGCTTTCTAGGATTAAATGTTACCTGGGCATAGTGTTTGGTTTGCATGACAAATTGCTAAATATTTTTATATTTTATTGCTATTTTCTTTGAGCTTTTTAAACAATATGCTAATTAGAGATTAGTCTATGGTTTTTCTTATACCTCTGCTATTGTAGAAGGCTATTGGCTTTCAGTATCATGATTAAAATAGCTCTAGAAAATTCACTAGAACACTTATTTTCATGTGCCTCCAGATAATTTTTATGTATTTCAAACAGCTTTTGTGAGATTTCAAAATTAGCCATTTTTTTCTGGGAAAAAAATTGATAACTCTATACCTTATTTCATGATTGTCCATTATACATTTTAATCAAGTGAGTAGAAGATACCATGTCATTATCATAGTTTATGGAAATTATACACAGATCTATGCCTTTCTAATTAGTATTTAAAGTAAAATTTTAAATAAAATTAATAATTAATGGTATTGATTAATTAATTATAAATTAATGATTATTAAATAAAGTGAATAATAATTTAAATAAAATAATTATTTTATTATAAAGGTGTTTAATAATAAAGTACAAATTAAGTCAAAGGCATCTGAGAAGACTGGGTGACCAAGGTCAAGGTATTCAAACAAATGAGATCTTCTTTGGGTGCAAAATTAGTTTTCATGTGAAACTTTTCTAGCAACTGGTGGCAACACAGGAGAAGATGATGGCATTAGGAGGCCCCAAAGTGGCAGACAAGAGAGAAGAGACCATTAAGCAAAAGCATTGTCTCATCAATATATTGTGTTCAAGCTAAAAGTGACCACATTTCTAAGATGCCTGTTGATCACCGATTTAATCTTGCTTCTGCTTCTCTCTTGGCAGACACTCTTTCACATGCAACCAGGAAACCACTCACAGCTCCCAGTATTTCTCCTCCTGGGACTTTCTGAGAAGCCAGAGATTCAGTCTGTTCTCTTTGGGCTCTTCCTCTCTCTGTATCTGGTCACCATCTTTGGGAATGGGCTCATCATCCTGGCCATCATCACAGACTCCCACCTCCACACCCCCATGTACCTCTTTCTCTCCAACCTGTCATTGTCTGACATATGTTTCACCTCCTCCCAAAGATGCTCCTGAACCTCCAGACCCAGAGCAAAGCCATTACCTATGCAGGCTGCATCACCCAGATGTATTTTTTCACAGTTTTTGGACTTTTGGACAACTTACTCCTGACCGTGATGGCCTATGGCTGCTTCGTGGCCAACTGCCACCCCCTGCACTACACAGTCATCATGAATGTGCGGCTCTGTGCACAGTTGCTCCTTTTAACCTGGCTCATCAGCGTTCTGGGGGCCCTTCCTGAGAGTTTAACCATGTCCCGGCTCTCTTTCTGCGCCATCGTTGACATCCAGCACTACTTCTGTGAACTGCCTGAGGTCCTCAAGCTTGCCTGCTCTGACACCTTCATCAATAATGTCGTATTGTATCTTGTGACAGGCGTTATGGGCTTTTTTCCTCTCACCGGCATCCTTCTTTCTTATTCTCAAATTGTTTGTTCTGTACTGAGGATCTCAACGACAGGAGGGAAGTATAAAGCGTTTTCCACTTGTGGGTCTCACCTCTCGGTGGTCTCCTTGTTCTACAGAACCTGCCTTGGGGTCTATCTCAGCTCCACATGGACACATGACTCTCAAACAGGGGCGTTTGCCTCTGTCCTGTACACCGTGGTCACCCCCATGCTGAATCCTTTCATCTACAGCCTGAGGAACAGGGACATGAAAAGAGCTCTGAGAAAGCTTCTCTGCAACACGTTGTCTCCCCAATGACAACAATGACCTGGAGCCTGGACACATGTGATCAAGAGCAATGGAAGAGAACACTTAGGAGTGTGAACTCTTAATTTTGCGATGCACTTAGTTCTGAAGTTGGAATGGATCTGTTGAGAGAGGCAAGGGTGGAAAAGCAAGCTAACTGTCCATCCTCAGGACACTGGGAACAGGTATAGACTAGAGATGGAGAGGTGTGTGTTTTCAGGAGGACAGGTGGAGTGTATGTGTGTGTTCGATCGTGTCTGACTCTTTTTGTGACCCGTGGAGTGTAGCTTCTCAGGCTCTTCTGTCCGTCAGATTCTCCAGGCAAGAACACTAGAGTGGGTTGCCATTTCCTTCCCCAGGGGATCTTCCCAACTCAGGGACTGAACTCAAGTCTCTTGAGTCTCCTACATTGGCAGGTGGATTCTTTGCCACTGTGCCACCAGAGAGAGCCCTAAAATTTTCCTGAATTCAAACAGTGATGCCATCTTAGTAGATGGTGATAAGATAAATATATTTTATTGCATTATTTTTATCTTTCTTAGATTTTTTTTCTTTTAAAAAACTTAATTATTTTTAATTGGAGGATACTTGCTTTACAATATTGTGTTGGTTTCTGCTATATATAACATGAATCAGCCATAGGTATAGGTATCTTCCCTCTCTCTTGCACCTCTCTCCCACCGCCTGTCCCTCCCACAACTCTAGGTTGTCACAAAGCATCAGATGTGAGCTTCCTGCATCATACAGTAAATTTCCACTGGCTATTCTAATTTTACATCTGGTAATGTATATGTTTCAATGCTATTCACTCAGTTCATCACACCCTCTTGTTCCCTCACTGTGTCCACAAGTCTGTGCTATATCTGTGTCTCCATTGCTGCCCTGCAAATAGGTTTATCAGTACCATCTTTCTAGATTCCATATATATGTGTTAATATATGATATTTGTCTTTCTCTTTCTGACTTATTTCACTCTGTATAATAGGCTCTAGGTTTATCCACCTTATTAGACCTGATTCAAATGTGTTCCTTTTTATGGCTGAGTAATATTCCATTGTGTATATGTACCACAACTTCTTTATCAAAAGAATATTCAATCCCCATGTGCTTCAGTTGCTCTATCTGAAATGAACCTATAGCAAGGCATGCCTCAGAAGGGTGACAAGAGATTTAAATGGAATAAAATGGCAAAGCTTCAGCATAAGGAATGCAGGTGGCAAGTCCTAAATAAATTTCAGCTCTCATTACATACAAGAGTAATTTTTGTAATGCTCCAACTTTTTGTCCTAATGTTATTAAGCCAATTTCTCCCCATGTACACTGCCATCCATTAGGACTAGGTCATAAAGCTCAGTATACTCCGGGAAGAAAGAGGATGTGTAATATGGAGCCGAATTTCTCAACCTTGGCATCATTGATATTTGGGTTTGGTTCATTCTTTGCTATAGGGGCTATTCTTGTACATTGTCAGATGTTTAGTCATATCCCTGGATAAGATACATCACCAGCCAAGTTGCAAGGGCTAAAAATGTCTTCATATACTCCATAAGGGGCCAAATCATCCTCACTGAGAACCATGGGAAAGTGTCTTCCAAAGGGAAAGAGAACATATGAAAATTTTCCATGTGCAAAATCCCCAAGGGAATGAGCTAAAGCAGGAGTCCCCAAGCTCCAGGATCTAATGCCTGATGATCTGAGGTGGAGCTGATGTAATAACAATAGAAATAAAGTGCACAATAAATGTAATGTGCTTGAATCATTCCAAAACCATTCCCCCTCCCCCCATCACCCCTTGTGTGCATGAATGCTCACTCGTGTCTGACTCTGAGACCATATGAATGATAGCTCACCAGGCTCCTCTGTCCATGGAATTATCCAGGCAAGACTACTGGAGTGTGTTGGCTTTTCCTTTTCCAGCAAAATATTTTTTACACATGATGAGAATGAACCATAAAAATGCCTGTACAAATAGAAAAGCAGAGTCCCAGATTTGACTCTATTTTGCGTAACAGTCAAAAGAAGGAAAGGAGACTGGATAGACTACAAGAATGATGACAGTGAAAAACTAAAATCCATTATTTAAAAAATATGTGAACAAAGAAGACACTTGGAAACATCATTTCTTAAGACTTTTTTAAAATTTATTTATTATTTTTGGTTGCACTGAACTTCCCTGTTGCACTCGGGTTTTCTCTTGTTGTGGCAAGCGGGGACTGCTCTTCGTTGCAGTGCTCAGGCTTCTCACTGCACTGGCTCTTCTTGTCGTGGAGCACCGACTCTAGGGCACGCGCAGGCTCAGTAGCTGTGGCTACTGTCATTCAAGAGGAGGATGCCCTAAATATCCTACTGGTTTTTTTTTAATTTTAATATTTTATTTGAGTTATAAAAGTTACTCCCTTATTATATACTGGTGTTCTTTTTTACTTTTTTATTGAGGTGTAGTTTATTAACAATATTACATAAGCTTCAAGCCCACTCAAAAAATGAGCAGAAGATCTAAATAAACATCTCTCCAAAGAGGGCATACAGATGACCAACAGACACATGAAAAGATATCCAACATCACTAGTTATTAGAGAAATGCAAACCAAAACTACAATGAGATATCACCTCATACCTGTCAGAATGGCCATCATCAAAAAAATCCACAGACAACAAATGCTGGAGAGAGCATGAAGAGAAGGGAACCCTCCTACATTGTTGGTGGGAATGTAAATTGGTACAGTCACTATGGAGAACAGTATGGAAATTCCTTTAAAAATTAAAAATAGAGCTACCACATGACCCTGCAATCCCACTCCTGGGCATATATCCAGAGAAAAATACGATCTGAAAGGATACGTGCACCCCAGTGTTCATTGCAGCACTGTCTATAATAGCCAAGACGTGCAAGCAACCTAAATGTCCATCAGCAGAGGAATGGATAAAGAAGTGGTATATACATACAGTGGAATACTACTCAGGCATTAAAAAGAATGAAATAGTGCTGCTTGCAGCAACATGGATGAACCTAGAGAGTGTCATACTGAGTGAAGTAAGTCAGACAGAGAAGGGGAAATATCATATGGCATCTCTTATATGTGGAATCCAAAATGATACCAATGAACGTACTGACAAAACAGAAAGAGACTAGTGGACTTAGAAAATGAACTTATGGTTGCCAGGGGAAGGGACAGTAAGGGAGTTTGGGAAAGTCATGTACACACTGCCATAATCAAAATGCAGAACCAACAAGGACTTAGTGTGTAGCACATGGAACTCTGCTCAATGTCATGTACCAGCCTGGACGGGATGGGGTTTTGGGGGAGAATGGATACATGTTTATGTAAGGCAGTGGATGAGATGGTTGGATGGCATCACCAACTCGACGGACATGAATTTGAGCAGGCTCCAGGAGTTGGTGATGGACAGGGAAGCCTGGTATGCTGCAGTCCCTGGGGTCACAAAGAGTCAGACACAACTGAGCGACTGAACTGAACTGATACATAAGGCTGAGTTCCTTTGCTGTTCACCTGAAACAACCACAACGTTATTAACTGACTATACCCCAATACAAAATAAAAAGTTTAAACTTTGCAAAAAAAATATTATTTAAGTTTCAGGTGTAGTCACATAGTGAATCACAATTTTAAAGGTTATAGTTCATTTACTGCTAGCATAGAACATTGGCTATATTCCTTGTGCTCTACAGTGTATCTTTGTGGCTTATCTTATGCATGGTAGTTTGTACCTCTTAATCCTTTTCCCCTGCCTTGCCCCTCTCCCTTCCCTCTTCCCACTGTTGGCCACTGGTTTGTTCCCTATGTCTTTGAGTCCAGACTTCCCTGGTGATCCACAGGTTAAGACTCCACACTTTCAGTGGAGAGGGCATGGGTTCAATCCATGGTCAAGGAAGTTCTATGTGCTAAGCAGTGCAGTCAAAAAAAGAAAAAAATTCTGTGTCTGTGAGTCTGTTTCTTTTTAGTTATATTCACTAGTTTGTTTTATTTTTTTAGATTTCACTTATAAAAGATACATATACTTATGGCTGATTCATGTCGATGTTTGACAGAAAACAACAAAACTCTGTAAAGCAATTATCCTTCAGTTAAAAACTAAATATTTATTTTTAAAAAGAGAGATATATAGAAAACAAAGTCACTCTTTTGTGAATTGTTCAAGATAGTCCATTCTCTCTGGACTAGAGTGTTGAGGGACCATCCAATGAACTTGACCCTGAAGTCAAGTTTTGACCCTGAAAAGCCATATATTCCCACAGAGTCTGCCTGAACAGCCAGTCAATCCACTTCTCACACTATTTCTCTTGTTGTATTCCTGGAACCTTCTCCAGATTGCCCTTTCAGCAGTAGGAACAGAAGTTGTGGCAAAGTCATTAGTCTGGCTTTGTTGGTAGTTGGGTGTGACCCACAGCCTTGTTCATAATTCCAAGTTAAGCTGCTTGACATTCACATGGTCTTGAAAAATGTGCCATCGTGCCCTTGATAGACAAAGAAATTCCATCTCAGATGTTGAGGAAGTGCTTGTGGGAAAAGACAGTGGAGATCAGATCCTGGAGAAAGAGCATTGTGACTAAAGTGGATGGGGAGGGGTGTTCCCATGGGGACAAAGTTAGCAGAAAAGAAGCTCCTTTCTGGTTTGGCTTCCACACTCATGGGAACCAAATTGCTTGGAAAGCAGAGTAGCAATGGAACAATTAACTTAATGAGAAGTTGTGAGAATTCAACCTCTGAAGCTACAGAAACAGTAAATATGCCCCTTACTCCTCCCACTACAGCTCCACGGTCCCAGAAAGGAGTAAGTTCAGCTGTGCCCTTTCAGAGAATGGATGCCTGATGCCACCTCCTTGCACTTCATTGGAGCTGAGTTGAGGATCCATCACCCAGGAATGAAAGGATCCAAGGAACTAGAGGCTCACTGAAGACATTAAAGTGTGTGCTGTGGGAAACAGGTATGGAGGCAGGCAGAACTCTCAGAGTATTAATTTGAGTGGCACAAATGAGGATAACACAGTT